GCGCCATGTCCGCCGCCGGTGCCCGCGAGGCGTCGACGCAGGCCGTTGGGGTCTCGCGATCAGGTGCGGGAAGACCCTCGCCGCGCACGCGCGCTGGAGCGCTCGGGGTCAGGTGCGGGCGCTGCCAGGGGTCCGCGTCCCCGTTCTCGCACGTTCCGTGCGCGGACGCTTGGCCTTTCGCGCCGCGAAGCGGCTGGCCCGCGGGTCCGAGTGACGCTCGGCGGCTCTCCCACCTACCGAAGCCCCGCCACACCGCCCAACGCTCGGTGGGCACTGGGCAATGGCGGCCGCCTCTGAACAGCTACCGGAGGTGGCCACGGGAGGGGGGCGGGGCGCACCTGGCGAGGCGGAGCGCGCAGGCGCAGAGAGCGGGCACCTGAGCGACCGTCAGCTGTCTTCGGCGCACCTGGGCCCGCCCCTGGCCGGGAGGGGGCGGGGTTGCGTTGGCTCCGCCCCCGGCAGATCGATTCCTGGAGGCGGCGCGGGCCACCTGAGCGCTGGGGCTCCTGCTGCCCTTGGAATGAGCCTCAGGGTGGGAGGAGGGGGCGGTGACGCGCTCTGCCAGGAAATCTGTTTTCCTTCTGTCACGCTTCCTTAGAAAGTGATTTACCCCTTTTTAAATTCAATGCTGATGGAGCACTTGCCACGGTGGCAAGGCGCTGGGCTCCTGCAAGAGATATGCGTCACCAGGGGGGAAGTCCAGTAGTGATGACAGGAGCTCTCCGCAGAATGATTCAGGAAGTGACAGAGCAATGATCAGGCTGAGTAATCAGAAGGGGGGTGAAAAAGCCCCAGGTAGTTGGGGCTTGGTGGGAAAGCAGATGGCTTTAGCCCTTTCATCCCAAAGCTCAGAGAGGGCTTCCTGGACTTGATGATGGACCCATGAATGACCAGCAGCCCCAGGTCCTGCCTCCAGGCTTCCCTGTCCTGAGATGAAAACAAGTACTTCAGGCCTCCCTGGTGGCACAAGGGGTTAAGTCTCAGCACTATGAAGCTATTGGCAGCCACTGCAGCGAGTTAGATCCAGGACAGGGAGCTGACCCACATGGCTCAGCAGACCTCGCCTGTCTCCGGGCTGCTCCCCTGAGCAGTGTATGTCAGTCAGTCTGCCTGTTCTGCTCCTGCTCTGAATCTGGGGAATCTTCTCACTGCCTCTGCACCTCTGGTCTGTAACCCCATTCTTATATGCACAAATAAATCTTAAAAAAAAATAAAGAAAACAAAGACCTTAATCAGTGCAATTTCTACACTGGAACAGAGGCTAAGCCACAGCTGGGTTAGGCCCGTGAAAACTAAGAGGTAATGAGTGTATGTCATTTTAGGCCACTAAGTTTGTGTAACTCATTATTATGCACCAATAAAAGAAATGACTACAAACACAATATTTACTAAAGGAATAAAAAAAAAACTAGTTTGAAACGACTTCTCTATTATTAAAATTTAACAGCAGCTGTAGTAACTGTTTAGCAAGTAGGCCGCAAAAGATTTCTTTCTGGGGTTAGGAGGACTATTTTATCACTGATACTATATAAAATTGTCAATGGGTGATATAATCAAGTTTTTATTTTTCAATTCTCTGCTGACAGTGCACCCCCTTTCTGCCTATACCAAATGCAGACTCCTCCTCTTCCCCCCCACCCACTTTGGGACACCACTAGTTGGAGAACCGACAATAAATAAAATGAGTAAGTTGCATGTACAACAGAGCGAATGTGATGGATAAAACATAGAGCCAAGTCGAGGGCCCAGGCCCAGGAGTTACAAGGTGAAGCGGGGTCAGGGAAGACCCAGCTGTACATATGACATCTGAGGGAGATGAAGGGTGAGCTCACTGACTGCATGCTGGGGAAGAGGAACAGTTGGAATAAGGGTGCGGAAGTGGACCCTGCCAGGCAGCTTTGATGTCTAAACTAAGGAACTTGACCTTTGTCCTCCAAGCACCAGGGAGCTCTGAACACTGTATTTGTTTTTAATATGCCAGTTTTATTGAACTAAAGTAACAAGGTGGTCCTCAAGAAAAGGGGAGGCTCCAGGTTCCCCGCCCCACCCAAAGGAGGGTGGAGCTGAGCACAAAGGAGAAGCTGGAGAGGAGACCAGAAAGGAAGGAAGCAGGATGGAGGCCAGGAGACCTGAGGGAGGCACAGGGGGCAGAGACAAGAAGCGGCTCTTGCTTCTTGACCCTGGGCTGGTTGAAACAGACGTGGGTGACAGACCCGGGGGGAGGTGACTATGGCAGTGTTTATCTTGAATTTGATTTGGCTCTTTTCCTCCCAGGCTTGTCTGGCCATGGGGGACCCTTTCTACGGTCCCCGCCAGAAGGCGCTTTAGACTTGTGGGGGGCTTTCCGGCCTTGCTTTGGGCCAGTCCCTTTGGGGTGGACTTTTACCCACGAGGGGATGGGTGACTTAGGGTGCTTAATTTAGAAACTATATTCTTTGTCTTTTCTATATTGCACGCTAATTGCATTAAACTTCCTTCCCATTAAAGGTCTTGATGCAGTGGATGGCAGAACCTATTTAAACCAGGCAGGTTTGGGGGGGTTCAGGGGTGCCTTTCTCACTGTCCTATAACATTACAACTCAATGATATGTATGATAACATATAATTCACCCTTGTTTTTTTTTTTTTAAAGATTTATTTTATTACATGCTCCCTGGTGGCGCAATGAGTTAAAGTGCACCACTATGAATGCTTCAGCAGGAATTGGATCCCCAACCAGGGAGGTGACCCACAAGGCACAGCAGACCTCTCCTGACCCGCCTGCTGCTCCCCACTGTCTCTGGTGAATCCTCTCTCTGCTCCTGCATCTTCTGGCCTGTGCCCCAGTTCTGTATGCATAAGTAAATAAATCTTTAACAAAAAAGATCTATTTTATTTATGCATATAAAAACTAAGGTGTAGGCCAGAGGTGTGGGGGTGTGGAAGAATTTGCCAGAGACAGAATTTGCAGAACAGACAGATGAAATCCACAGCTAAGGGGAACAGCCAGTAAGACAGGAGAGGTCTGCTGCCAGGGAGCTGACTGGGAAGTCGGCTGGCTGCAGAGAGCTTCAGTGCTGAGACTTAAGCCCCTGAGCCAGCAGGAAGGCCCAGCAATTTATCCTTTTAAAAAAGTATGCAACTTAGGGGAGGGGAGGGACACTGGGGACTGTGGTGATGGCACATGGATGAGCTCGGGGAGGAACAATTCTAAGGGGGCTGTACCTGAGGGGGTAGAAAATGGTAAACACCGTTTAAAAATGAACAGTGACGTAAATATATATAAATAAATTTAAGAAGGTATACAATTCAACAGTTTTAGGTGTCCTCAGTCATGCAACTAACACCGATGGAGGAGTTACAGGGCAGGGAGAGGGGCACCCCATAGCCCCAAAACCTGCTGCTTTCAAAAGGTTCTGCCATCCACTGCATCAAGACAAAGCCTGTAAGACCTTTAATAGAAAGGAACTTTAATACAATTATTGTGCACAACAGACTAGAGTTGCAAAGAAGAATATAGTTTCCAACTGTAGCACCTGAAGTCACCCATCCCCTTGTGGGTCAATGTTCAGCCAAACAGGACTGGCCCAAAGCAAGGCCCGAAAGGCCGCCACAAGTCTAAAGCATCTTCCAGTGGGGACCCAAAGAAAATAGTCAGAAACAGACAAGTCTGGGAGGAAAAGAGCAAAATCAAAATCAAGGTAGAAGCTGCCATAGTCAGCCGCCCCCAGGTCTGTCACCCACGTCTGTTTCAACCAGCCCAGGGCCAAGACGCAAACGCCATTTCTTTACATCTCTCTGCTCCCTGTGCCTCCCTCAGGCCTCCTCCCGGCTCCATCCTGCTTCCTTCTCTTCAGTCTCCTCTCCAGCTTCTCCCTGCTCAGCTCCACACTCCTTTGGGTGGGTGGGTGGGGAACCTGGAGCCTCCCCTTTTCCTGGGGACCATCCTGTCACAGAGGCTAAGAGTGGAAAATTCGGAAGGAGGCATCACAAGACCAAAAGCTGGAAGTGGGAGCAGAAATGATTAACATAGTCGTTAAACCAGCTCTGGCACAGTCCGGGAGGCACCTACTGGAGGTGGGATCTGGAGACTGAGAGCCAGAGTTGGCAATCACCAGTTCTTTCAAATCTACCTAGTTCCACCCTAGAAATAATTAATTGACCAACAGCCCCACAAAGGAATGAACCCCTCCCAAAGAAGAGAGTATATCAGTGCAATTTCCACCCTGGGGAGAGGCAGCCTCCCACTGGCCATGACTAAGAAGCTGCTTCTCTTCACAGACCTTCTATTTTGCAAAGCAGCGGGGG